TTTTACTAGTATTTGAGCTTCCAGGTCTTTCAGGGGGAGATGGATAGTAATTTGTGGGAAATCAGCTTGATTTTACTAAATTATCCATAAGAAAGATGCTTCGCTTCTTTAATATTGGTCTTCTTTAAACAACCGCTGGAGAGCTCATTGTTACTAACATAATGAGCTCCCTATGGGCAGTTTGAAGGAGAGAATCAAACTGTGAAAGCATATATAAGTAATGCCAGAAATATTATTATTTGTGCAATCAATATTTATATTTAGTTAAAATCTGGAATTATATAAAATGAATGCGTTCAGAATATGCAGTCATTCTGCAACTGTTTTCTAGGAGAACAATATTTATCTAAATCATTTCATTTATAAGTAACTGCCTCAACAGAATGTTTCACAAATCTTTTTCCAACTTGGTCCCTTCTAAATTAGGGTGTTAGTATTACTACAATTTTCAGAATTCTCAGTCAGCAATATCAGCAACCATGCTGGCTGGGAAATTGGGGAATTGCAGTCTAACACATCTGGAAGGCACAAATGTCAAGGTGGCTGACTTAGAGAGCAGTTCTGGCCCAAATGGGCAGAATCAAATGAAATGTACTGTGTATTTGGCACTTAACCTATAATTCAGTATATTATAATCTGCTGGTTTCTAGCTGTGACTAATTTTGGAACACAGAGAGATTTAAAGACTCATCCTGCTCTGAAATGCTGCTTAAAGGGCAGATTTAGAGCTAGGTGAGAGCAGTTCATGAAAAATAGGAAGAAATGTGTGGCCACAGGGAATCCATGGTCAACAAGGGATGGAGAGAAGAATCTATATCAGGCAAACGCTCAAACATTCATAGTACAATTGCACAATTGCATGATAAAATAACCACTGCATTCCTGTTCCTCCCCTCTTCTCTTTTCTGTTTTTCATGTTTGGCTTTTGTTTGTGTTTTAAAAATAAATTGTGGCAGGAAAACTAATGCACAAGCTATATATCAGCTCTAAGGCTGATATATCCCTTTCCTCCATTTTAGGGGCATCTTAAGAGAAATTGTTGGGCTTCAAGTCTAGAGGACTGAAAGAAGCTATGGCTGCTGCACTAAGCATACAGTAGTAGTGCTATGCTGATATCCCAGGTTGCATGAATTTCTTCTGCAAATGACACAAATAAGGTGGTTTACCTCAGTTGCAATGGGTGCAAATTGCAATATTTGATCATTTGTACAACAGTCTCATGATTCTAGCAATGTCACTTGGTCCTTTGTTCCCTACAGATGCTCATGCCTGACACATCATTCAGATAGGCTTGTTTTGCCTTCTCTGACCCTGGCAGGGCCTTCCACTATCATTCTGAAGAACCTTCCAAAGGCAAAAATCCCACCCCACGCATGGTGAGAGGAAACTTCAGGATTCTATGGGCTGTTCCTAGAGCTCTTGGATAATATATGTTAGTGTTTAGAAACTTCCAATCGGATTTTGTAGCTTTCCTCAAAAAGAAGTGGAAGAGATGAATATGGAAAACCAAAACACTGCAAAACACAATTGTTCTGGGAGTGCGTGGCAGCATGTGGCTCGGAGGAACATAAAATTGCATTCTTGTTAAGAAAGCTCTTTGGCCACCTGTGATTCTTAGGGTATTCTGTTTTCATTTTCTTTAGTTCCCTTGCTAGAACAGAAACACACGCTGATATTTAGCTTTTTATTTCCAATAATGGTTTTCATTTACAATAAAAGAGTTCGAATCATCTCCTCCTGTCTCTCCCAGTTAGCAAAGTTGTATTATTGAGTATTATCCAGGCTGAGGTCCCATTGTTTCTCACTCACTACAGAAATGTGAGAGTGTGCATCTTCCATTCTCATTGGTTTTCCACTCCAGCTTCAGCTTTGTGGGTGATCTTTTGTTAAGAACGTATTGTAAAGCAGATTAGGGACAGAATGCTCCTATGAATATTTTGTATGCATGCATATATTCATGAAATTTATCCACCCCTCAATCTAAATGGATTCTAGGCAGCTCCTTATTATTTATTTTATGCTTTTGTCTCCTTAGCTGCATGTAATAGAAACATATAGATAAAAGATTTTTTTAAAGTGCACCTCTCAGGAGCTGCCGATCCAATAAAGATATAGCTATATTTTCTCAAACTTAGTTTGATTTCAGCCTGTTTTGAAAATTAATTACAAAAAGTAAAAGTGGAATCATCTGAAGTTGATTTTGAAAGTTTCCATTTGAATTGAAACTGTTTGTACCCATTAGCAGGGAAGTAAGAATCAAATGAATTCAAACTAGAGCTTTGCTAAAAGTCAGCTTAACATATTTGATAGATTGAACTTTTGACGATTTGAAAGTGTAAGAAGTACAGAGAACAGCTTTGAACAACAGAGAGAAGATCCATTGCCAAGGTAGCCATCAAATAAATAAGGATTGAGCACAGACCAAGGAAGTGGCTTAGGAAAATCCTTCAGACAGCAGTAGCAGCAACACCCATTCCAATTCACATGAAGTTGAAAGAGGGAGGAAGGGAAGTATGTTCAGATATGGAAGATTCTGTTTTTCTAGCTATTCTAATCAAAGTAACTTTAGGTCTACACAGTGTCTGTTACTTTGTCTGATCGACCTTATAGGGCTGATGTAAATCTTATGTCTTGACTACCATTAGAAGCTACTTTGGGCAGATGATTGGGGAGAGGGGTTACAAGACAAGAAATGAATAATAAATACCATCACTTGCATTTTTACTTTCATTGGAAGGTAATTCATGGAATTTTGGGTTTCAAGTGTAATAATAGTGTTATCGTCCTTGGTTATTGTGCAATTGAAAAAGGAGAGTGCCACTCACTGCAGCAAATATTTTTTAAACAAACATGGATGTGATGTGTGAGGACAAAGAAAGGTAGCTTTTGCAAACTCAGGAATTAAAACAGTTCGGGGAAAAGCTAAAACGAACCATATTTTCTCTTTGTGAAATCATCCCCAACAGCTTAAAAAAAAATAGTCCTTTGCTCATGAGCTTTACAAAATGGAGATGGATTACTGCCATTAAAGGTAAATGGCACCAAAACTATTTCAAAAAGATAACCAGGGAGGATAACCATTTCTGCTTGAAAGTGCAACTTCCCTCCCCAGGAGAAGAAAATCTGAATATCTGTAATCCACTATTAATAGGCAAAACCATAACTCAGCCAGAGAATGGAATTGTAATGTTAGAGAGGCAGTTTGTGACTTATCATAGTTTAATATCATCCAACCTCTTCTATTATTACTGGCTTAATATAATAGAATACCTGAATTAGGTCATCTGATCAAATCATAATGAAATATTTATTTTTAGGACAGAATTTTGGATTCAATTCCCAAAAGTCACTTTAGAGCACACAGAGACAAAAAGGTAGCATCTGAAATTCCTTAAAGCAGCCCATGCCTTCTTGCAATCCTGATCAAAGAAGAGCTTGCTTTAAATGATTGCAGATGGATGGATGTTTGCATGCTTATAGACACTGAAACAACTTTTTGGAGCTGAGCCTGAATCTTTGCGTAGCTCCTATTAAGGAGGGGAGAAAAAAAACAACAAAGAGGAATAAAAAATTGCAGACAGAACAGGGTATTTCCTATTTCTGATGACATATAAGAGCCATGGTGGCACAGTGGTTAGAGTGCTACTTCTGCTGACTGCCGGCTGCCTGCAGTCTGGCAGTTCAAATCTCACCAGGCTGAAGGTTGACTAAGCCTTCCATCCTTCAGAGGTGGGTAAAATGAGGACCCAGATTGTTGGGGGCAATAGGCTGTCTCTGTAAACCACTTCAGAGAGGGCTGTAAAGCACTGCAAAGCGGTATACAAGTCTAAGTGCTATTGCTATATATAACATATAAGAACATGGGGGCATTTTCAACAATGTTTATGGATTCAAAATGTGATGCTACTTTTTATGTGCATGCAATGTATACAATTGGCATTTTTAAAAAAGGGGCTTTGATTGCTCAGTTGCACTCATCAATTGGAAACCAAGTGGGAGGAACCAATGCTGAGCAACACAAGTTCTGGATTTGATCGAAGGGCTTTTTTAACCCAGCATCCTATTTTCACAGCATTCCATCAAATGCCTTTTTAGAAACCTTAGGAATATAGGCCATAAAGGCAAATCTCCTTTCCAGTTTTGTCTCTCAACAATTAAAATTGAGTGGTTTCCTACTTCAGTCTTGGAGGCAATATACAATCATCATGTTTAGTCATCACTTATTTTTCTCCTTTTAAAGTCATTTAGGTTGGGTAGCATAACTTTTACAATAGTAAGAAAGGATGGCATTGATGGAGCACTTACCCTGGGATCTTTCTGTAAATGTAGTTGGTGCTGAAGACTCCTCTGCCTTCGACTTTTGGCTAAGCCATTATGGGAAAAGTGGTAGCCATCCTCTATAAAGGGAAGCTGAATTTTTTTAAAAAAAGGATATTGAAATCATTAGATTGTTGGAATGTTAGCCACACTGGAATAAATTACAGTATATGTTGTATTTATGCTAGCTAGACTTGCAATCATTAAAAGCATCTCACATTACCTAAGATACATGAAAAGAAGAAATTTTTAAAATGCTGGCAAGCTTACATTTATACAAAAAATGAAAAATTATGAAAAAGTGAATGTCATAAATTTACCAAAATGTATAGTTTAAAATGCAAAATAGCTATAACTCTACAGATGTTGTTGGGGCAACAAAGTAGTTTGCACCTACATAAAATAGATAATCACTTGCTTAAGTGGAACTAATTTCTTTGTGACTGGATGGCCATGGCCATATAGTTTCTCAGAACTGGTCTGTCATTGCCTTCTTCCAGATTTTTTTAAAAAGCTTTCCAAGTTATCCTATAGTCTTGGAATTTCTGGTATTTTTCAATCCCATTTCTAACCAGGTTAAATCATATTTAACTCCTTGAGAGATCACCTAAGGTTGGCTTGATATTGCCATCTTCATCTCCATACTAAATTATTTTATATTTGCATATTTTGTTTATGATCTAAAAGAAGAAGAGGAAAATAAAGGCAGTCAAGGAAATAATGGTCCATAAAATTGCACACATTTTAGAGTCATAGTAAAGACAAGCCAGACAACTGTGGTTTATATTGGTTTAAATGTCTCCCTGGAGATCAAAAATGAAAACCCTCAGTGAACAGCAAAGGTGTTTGTATAAACCACAAGATGGTCACATCTATCATGTGATCATACCATCGTGAATTATCCCCTAGATGGCATCATTTGTATCATCTGCATAATGGTTTTACAATGCATGTGATGTCATTTGGCTTTTTTCATCCACTGTGAGACATGCATGATAGACAAGTGACTCTTTTCAAGCCCACCATTTTCTATCCATTTCTGTTTATCTAGTAGCTTTGCTTCCAGAATGCCATGTTGGAGGGCTGGTGTGCATCCTGCCATGCATACATTTGCCATGAATCACTTTCCAGTTGAACATGTGGACTTATTCAGGAATGGCACATGTTAAGTCATTATCCGTAGATAGCAGGTCTTCTCCTTGTTGTGTTACTGGTGTTTGTAAGATCAGTCCATTAGTTGGAAATTCCTGCTACTTTCGATAATTGAACTTGAAATGGCTGCTACTAAGTTTGGACAATCATTTCAGCAACCAGCTGCCAATGTAGATGGATGTTTCCTTACTGAATGCTTTGGAAGAGGGCCCAGGAAGGGGTGAAATAAATCTGTATCACTTCTATTTCTCCCACCCAGTAACTTCTTAAGAAATAATTTTGCACAGGGAGACAGAGAGGAGAGAAGACCTAGGCTGATAAAGTTTGGGAAGTTACTACATTAGAAAAATAAATCAATGAATTTGCCTTGAGAAACTGTAGTGGAGAAAATCAGCACAAAATAACAGAATAAGAATGAACAGCACTGGCTTCCTAAAAGAAAAGAATATTGAAAGGAACTGCAACCTGCATCCATGGTTTAAATAAAATGGGATGGTGTGAGACATGAGAAACTGAACAAATAGGAGAAATCCAGGGGTGGGTCCAGCCTCAGTTCAAGGTGTTCTAACTCAGGACAGCTGAAGGGTATCCATATTCTCCTTTTTATTAGAACAATAAGAAGTTTCCTTTCTTAAACATCCAAATCATTTTGAATGCCAGCTTTGAATGAACCTTATTTTATCAGCCCCACAGCCTTTATATAGACCAGGAAGGAAGCTTGTACATTACAATATATTAACTAAATTATATATTTTATATGCAACCCAAGAAAATTCCTCTTCACTCAATGCAGCCCAGGCAAGCCAAAAGGTTGGACAACCATGATATAGACTGTAAATGTCATCAGTCCCACAGCCTTTATGTAGACCAGGTGTGTACACCCTATGGCCAAAGCTGCATGTGGGCCTACAGCTACTAAAGCAGCCCAACAAGATAATAAAATATATAAAAAATAAAAGAGTTTGTTATAAAATATATAATATAGTTAGTGGATATACATATGTGGCCCAAGACAATTCCACTTCATTCCATCTGGCCCAAGCAAGCTAAAAAGTTGGACAACTATGATATAGACTATAAATGTGTTAAAGATCAATCTTCCTACACCATTGGTGGTTTCTATATTCCTCTACTGTATTTGTTAAAAATGAATTATATGTGAATCTCATGTTTTACAGAGCAAGACTTACTTGGCATCCATCTGAATTTTTTTTTTCATTCCACTTATCACACCCAGCAAGATGCCTTTGAAAACTAGACCTTCAAATTATTTCTTACAGTTCCTTCAGGACTGACAAGCATAAGCAGGGACATTTCATAATAAAAGCATACAGAAATAACTCATCGTGTTTTCTGTATTGCTGGCATCCTAAAGAAAGCTCTTGATATCTAACTGGAAGGCACTAGTTATGTGTAAATTGTCCTGGAATGAAGTCCATGCATCTGATTTACAGGATTTTAGTCTATAAAATTTGATGCCAGCTGCTTCTTCTTGCCCAATCTCACCCTCTCTAAACTTTGACTCCCAAAATACCAAGCGGCATGACTTTTGAACAAACAAGCAAAAATTCACAGGCTAATTTTAGCATAGTGGGGTGGGTACATGTTTGAGAAAGTAGTTTTATGCAATAAGAAGGAAAGAAAAGGTGGGAGGGATATTTTTAGGCTGCAAAAAGCTCTAGCTTGTTTTTGTCTGGCTCAGTATTTTTCTTCCTGAATTTTACTTATATTTCTCCAGAAATTGTGATAACAATTTATACTATAGATCCTATAGTGATTAAATGGTCCATACACCGAAATACTGTACAGAACGGCTGAGCAGGTCTGCATGTTGTAACCTTCAAGTTTGTGGAACACAACCCATAATGAACTGTAGCTAGACTTGCTTCTCAAAAAAAGATGACATTGAGTTTTTACAGACATGCCACATGTAAGAAATGATGAGATCAAGCTGCTGGTGAGACAATTCTGTTCCAATTCTATTGATGGGGGTAGGTATTAGATCCAGAAAGGAAGATTTACACTCCTTAATAAGTCACAAATTACTTCATCACAACTACATTTATTGAGAAGGACTTAAAAGGAAATGTTGAGGAAGAGCTCAAGTGAGGAGGTGGCAGACTTTGCTCTCCCCACCAAATGAGGGATGATGCCACCTAATTTGTGTTTTTAGAAAGTAGGGGATGAAAGTACTTTAAGATGAGAAAGGACAAAAAAGGTGTATGTGGGGTTGTATGTGTACATGTTATTACTTCAGTTTTCCAGAGGCAGCTAGGATTCCCTAGAGTAGATCTGCCTCTATTAAAAAATCCACATTTGGGTGTAAACATAGATATAATAGTAGTGTCAGAAGCCCTAAATTATCTCCTTCCAAAACACCAAACTCAGTAGAGCATCACTGAAATTTCTATACTTTGGGGAAGTGAATTATTATTCGTGATATTTCTCATAATTACAGGAGTATTAATCATTTCTCTTGCTGTGTTAGCTGGATATTTTTTATTTATCCTTGGAACATACCAGATTTCAATGTTCTGATATCTTAGGTGTTGCCACAAAGAAGAGGAAAGCACCCGAGGGCAGGATAAGAAGCAATGGATGGAAACTAATCAAGGATGGAGACTAATCAAGGAGAGAAGCAACCTAGAACTAAGAATAAATTTCCTGACAGAACAATTAATCAACAGAACAACTTGCCTCCAGAAGTTGGGAATGCTCCAACACTGGAAGATTTTAAGAAGAGATTGTGCAACCATTTGTCTGAAATGGTATAGGGTTTCCTGTCTAAGCAGGGGATTGGACTAGAAGACCTCCAAGGTCCCTTCCAACTCTGTTATTCTATTCTACTCTACTCTACTCTACTCTACTCTACTCTAATTCTTTAACTTGGCTTTTGTTCAGTTCAAAGTTAAGGAAATGTGATCCTGTAAGATAGTCCCCTGAAAAATTATCTGCGAGCAGATAAGTAATTTCAGATCTAGGCCAGTATTTAGGTTACATTTGCTTGTTTCTTTATTAATTTGTATGGCTGCCATCTCAGTTTCATAACTCTGGGCAGCAAAGAATTAAAAACGGAATTAAAGCAAAATTAGGTCAGGCTTTGCATTTTTTGTGGACAAATATATATATAGAGAGATGAACAAATCTTTTCTAAAGCTAGTCTCTCTTGACATTTCAAAGCATTAACAATGGGTTGTTGGACCCACACTACTGACGCACATCTTTTAGATAGGCGGATAAGGTTGAGAGAACAAGCATGTATATTCTTCCACGAGACTGCTCTGGCAGAACAGTTTCATCTATGCTGAACATCTCGATGCACTTTCTTGCCCAGACTAATTCACATCCGCCTGCTTAGCTGCTCCTCTCCATTTTTATCAGTGTTATTCTGCAATCTTCTTTCAAATCATGGCAATGTAAAGGACGGTGACCTACTTGAGCTACCACCTAATGAAATACTCATGATCTTTTTTTTTATACAATGAGAAATGTGGGAAGCAGGGATTAATGTGGTTGTACTGTACTGTTTGAAAGGATTATTTTTAAATAACACATTGGCATGTCCTTTTGGGGACCTCTGAAAAGCCACAGAGGACTTTTTAATGTTTCCATGCTTTCTCAAAACCAGCCAGTTTGTCACAACAATGCAAGATTGACATTGTCAGCTACTGCTGTATAAGTGGCTGCTTTCTTTATGTAATTATCACTGTCTAGACCTTATTTCATGCCATGCTTGATTCTGTATCATAATAGCAAGACTGTACCTATATGCCTTAAACAGGATAATACTTCATGCCTCAGTTGTAATCACTCTGATCCAAGAAAGCTTATGCAGTACCTGAAATACAGTTGATGTCGATTCAGATGCCAGAAGACTCTGTTATCTCTTTCCACAAGCTATTATGACGCTGAGTCTCCGAAAACTGTTAAATATCTTATGA